ATTCCTTTATAGTCGAGGGCTTAAATTGTATTGGGCTAGGCTCACTTTTGTGTAACCAAGCAAGGACTTGGAAATATGTAAACCTATAGGGCATATGATTACTTGTTTAATTTTCAATTCTCTTATCATTGTAACACATGCTGTAGATTTAGGATGAATAGCTTGTGAATGTATATTGCATGTGTTATCTTTTGTACACGAATTCCGATGAATAGAAGCATATAATCTTTCCGCTTTTGGGTTATATTTATTGTTTAATTTTGGGGGCGTTATAACTTCGTATTCCTTCATTGAGAATTTAAACAACTTACACAATGTAACCTTCATCATTAAGTACTCAAAATAAAGCTTCCAAGTTTTGCAGGCGGTCAAAAATGGGGTGTCTACACCCTCTTCCAGTAGTTTAGACCTGTAAACCGTTCGTTTGAGAGCAAGAAAGTTCGCTCAAGCGAAGAATACAAACTCTCAATAGTTTTGCAAACTATAAAAGACCACTCGAGTGCAGGAATGGTCACTCGAGTGAACAAGAAAAAATCTGGACAATAACTCTTTGAAAAATCAAATTCCCAACCTATTTTAAATGCACCCAAAACTCCCAAAAGCCAAATTCAATAAACAACAAAATAGAAATGAGTTAAACAACAGTTAAATGCACGGGTTCTCGGATCCAAAAGCAATTAAAAGAGTCTGGTTGAAACCAAAATCGTTATATAATCCTAATCCCTTACTTCTAGTTCCACCACCCACCATCAACACCACCACAAATTATAGTCACCTTTCTTTACCCACATCTAGTTCCGGCTAGCATCGCCCAACCCTTCGTTCGCCGTCCAACCCCTCCTTATTCTTTTTTAGCCTCTCAAATTCATTCATAAACCCTTCTCCATCATTGTGTCAACCTAGCAACCACCCATTCATCCATCTACAACCATTCCATTGCTAACCTTTTGACCCATCTATCTTCGTGTGATCTCTTTCATTCCTCCTATTCGTCTTCTTCCATCTATCTCTTTTTACACGGTTTTGTAATGGCAATGACTAGGGTTTCGGAAGGAAACAAAGGACTGCGATGGGTCGATCGTGTTTGCCAAGAATGAAAAGGCTAGGGGTAGCGATGTTGGGCAGAGAATGGTGAGGTTGAGGGTTATATTAAAGATAGCCAAGGTAGATGTGGGTGGCGTTATAGGATGAAGGGGATCGCTAATAAAAGAAGAGGTTGGGGTAGTACGTTACCCTTGTATGAGTTAATGTTTTGAAAACCGGACCGGTTGAGTGAACCGAAAAAGAGATCGGGCAGACGGGTCACCGGTTCAACCGTAGGGTCAAAGCGGTCGAACCATGACATCATAATTAATATTATATAATTATAAATTATAAATAAATAAAAATATATATAAATACTCAAATAAAAATAAAAATCATTGCATAGTATTTATTAATAATATTTAATAAAGTTATAATTGATAAGAAAAAATCACTTGTTTTAAAGAAATTAAATTTTTTTAACATTATTTCCAAACAAATTAATTGAATGTTAGATTTAATTTTAGAGGGAAATAAAATTTTCAACTCTCTCTCCAATCAATATGATTCAAATAATTTGATTGAATCCCACATAGAATTTTGTAGGTTTTCTTTGAATTTTTTTTTTCCTATAAATAGCAATAGACTTTCATAATATCTTCAAACTTTTAATGAGACTCCTCCTTATGAGAGAAGACGCTTGAAGTAAGAATTTTTAGTCAAAATTTTGAAATGTATATATAAGAAAGAAAGAAAGAAAGAAAAGAAGAAGAAAGAAAGAAAGAAAGAAAAAAAAGAAGTAAATATAACAGAACTATTCAGGTCTCAAAACTCGGTCCGGGTTGTCGGTTCTAGCAGTTCAACCGCCAAGTCTGCCAGTTTTTCAATTTTACATTGGTTTAGCCCTTAGTTCGGTTTTAGAGCGTTTTCCGGATCGGAACATGGCCAGGTTCCTGATCTGACCGACTAGTCCTGTCTAGGTTTCTAAACAAGAAGGCAGCCATAAAATGGTTATAGTGAAGAGCGGGGTCATTGGAGAGCCGAAAGAGGGTAGCCTAAAATGGGGGTTGTTGCAAAAAAGAAAGTTTAGGGGTAGGGGATCTAAAGAAATGAAAGGTAGTGTTGAGATTATAATAAGTGTTCAAAGAAGAAAAGGAAGGGATCCATTTTGGTACATGAAGGGCCAAAGTAATTAGGGGTTTAAAGAAATTATGTGGGGCCATTTAGCAACTCTCCCTTCTTTTTTTTTATTTAATTATGATTTTACCCTACTTTAAAATTTTCATTTTATTCTCATTTTTAACCGCATACATCTTAATCATAACCCTACCCCACTCCCATCCCCATTCCCATTCCCAACAACTCCAACTGATCTCTTCACATCTCATAATTTTTGCAACCCCCAACTCTTTCCTGCCTCTACCCCTCATCCATGGCCCTTCACTGCCACAATTGTTTTCTCTATAACCTTCCATAACCACTCTTTAACAATTGCCAATGCACGCCTAGTTATTTTTTCCCCTCTCTTCAATCAATTGTGCTTGCTATATCTTATTGTACAGTGGTCATCACGAGGGTGAGGATCACAAGGAGTTGATATCACAAGAGTGAAAGGTAATAAATGATGGAAAAGGGTTGCAGTGGAGATAATGCAGCAGCCAAAATGAGGATTGCCTTGAAAGAGAGGTCATTAAAGACAGAAGGTGGGAGAAGGGGGATTATAGTGGGAAAAAAATACTATAGTAACCAAAGGAAAAGATGGAAAGGAAGGGTTGCAATAAAAGAGAAGTTGAAGTAGTAGCCAAAGGAAGAAGTAAGTGTTTGGTTGGAGGATTTGGAGAGAAATTTAAAAAGAAAATGGAAAAGGTAGGTGAAATGTGAATAAAACATGCTTATGTTTCACATAGTTTCACACACCTTTTCCTTTTCCCTTTCCAAATCCCTCCCCAAATTCTCCATCCAAACACAACATAAGGGTTCCAATTAGGATTTGAGTTCTGCTAAAAAAAAAATAAAAATAAAATTAGGATTTGAGTCTCCATCCAAACACAACATAAGGGTTCCAATTAGGATTTGAGTTCTGCTAAAAAAAAAATAAAAATAAAATTAGGATTTGAGTTACCATTTAGAGAAGGAGAATAGACTTGGCTATAATTTATTAAGGCTTCGTTTGGGAAGATAGTTTTGAGACTTTTTTGGTTAAAATAGTAACAACAAATAAAATAGATTTTTTAGCTTAATAAGACAAAATATCACATTCAACTTATAATCATTACATTCTTTATCTCACAAAAAAGTTAAAAATCCTTCTCAAACCAGGCTTTTCTCAAACTAGGCTTTTTAACCACATGTTAAAATAGTTAAAAAAATTAAAAAATTAAAAAGTCAACCCACTTCCCAAACGATAAGTGTAGATTTAAAGACAAAAATAAAATAAAATAATTTGAAGGTGGAGCCAACAAAGACAAGTATCCAAATAAATTTCGTACATTTTGTACGGACAAAAGTAACAGTACCCTTACTATTTTTTCATATATAAAAGAAAATTTAAAAATTGTTATGTATACAATGCTATTTTATTAATATTAACATGAATTTTTTTTTTTCATTTATGTAATTTTACCAAATAAGATTTATCTTTTCTTTATTTTTTCTCATATTTATATTTAACTTAAATAAGAGGGAGAAAAAAGTAATTTTCTTTTGCCTTTTTTTTTCTTCTTTTCTCTCCTAACTAATCAATTCATTTATTTTTTTGGACAATTAAAAAAAATTAGGATTTAATTTTTGTAACAAAATAAATTTTGAATTTTTTATTTTATCACTTTAGAATTAGAACTTTTTATTTGTTTTCCATCTAAACTATTTTGCCTATTTTCGTTAAGTAAAACTAACAGAAAAAATATATTTTAATTATTAAACTCAATAAAAAATGATATTTTAAATATTTTATATACATCTACATTTAGTTTAATTACTCAAAATATAATTTTTTCGTCAATTTTACTTAAGGAAAATAGGCTAATAGTTTCTATTGAAAACAAGTCAAAAAAAATTTGGATTTAAATTGACAAAATTAAAAATTTAGGGCTCATTTTCTTACAATGATCAAACTTTAGAGTTTATTTATTTATTTTTGATAAATTACACTTTGCCCCTTCATATTTGGCCACTTTTCCATTTTGGCCCTTAAAGTTTATTTTTTTCCATTTTGACCATTCATGTTTGAATTTTTTTCCATTTTACTTCTAAAGCTAATTTTTGTTTAAAATTAGACAAAAATGCCACGATAACTATTACATAATAATAAAAAATATATTATTATATTAGAATTTGAATTTATGTCGTGAGTTAAATATAATAAAATATTTTTATACTACGTGACTATCATTTTTGTCTAATTTTTAACAGAAATTAGCTTTAATAGTAAATTGAGAAAAACTTGAAACATAAAAAATCAAAATGAAAAAAAATAAACTTTAATGTTGTGTTTGGTTAAGAGATTTGAGAAAGAATTTAGAAACGGAAGAAGAAAATGTAAGTGAAATGTAAATAAAATATGCCTACATTTTATCTAATTTCACTACATATTTTTTCTTTTCTTTTTCAAATCTCTCAACCAAATATAGCTTAGGGGCCAAACTAAGAAAGTGATCAAACATAGAGGGCAAAGTGTAATTTGCCCAATATTTTTTATTTTTTTTGTGATTTTGTTTAATCCATTTTGGGTTAGTTGGAAATGTGGGTTGACTTGTTGGTTTTTTGATTTTGTAGCTATTTTAGTTCGGGGTTAAAAAAATAGGTTTCTTTAAGTTTTGTGAGAGAAAAAATGAAATAATTATGATTAAGATATGATATTTTATCTTATTATTTTTTTAATCTATTTTATCTTTTTATAACTAAAATAACCAAAAAAAATTAGATTTTTTGACATACCAAATGAAGGCTTTGTAAGAATTGGGAATTAGGTTTGAAACTTAGAAGCAGCAAAACCAGAGATGGTATGTATATGTAAATGTAAGCCCGATCCAAACCCGGTCCGGTCCGGCTGGCCGATGTTCAGTCCAGATCATTTTCTCACACAAAAAACACCATACCCCCAAGTCTTTCTCCCAAGGGCAACGCACAACACAACACAACTCAACACAACTCTCTCTCTCTCTCTCTCTCTCTCTCTCTCTCTCAAACTTGCTCATTGCGAAAAACAGGTTGCAAGCAATGCTGGGTATGGATTATTTTTTCTCTCTCTCTCCATTAGTGAAGAATTGAAGCTCCAAAAAAGGCCATTTTTGCATGTGGGGGTTTTCACTTCAAGAGGTACTGTACTTTTTATCTTTATGCTTCAAGATTGACTTTCAATTGCTGGAAAAACAGTGCTAAGTTGAGCTCTACTTCATGGATTTGTATCTATAGATCTTACATTTTAGAGAGAGAGAGACAAAGATGAATAATCATATATGCAAGGCTTAATTGCTTCCTACTTTCTCTACCTAATTTTTTTTTTTGAATCTTTATTTAATCAACCATGCATTTGCATTGTTTTTCGCTTCCAATTTGAACTTCAAAGATCTGTTTGGTTCACGGGAAAATGAAAAGGAAAGGGGAAGTCAAATAATAGAATAGAAATAAGGAAATGGGTTTTTGTTAGGATCTGTTTGAAAATTGGAATTGGTAAAGGAAAGGTAAGTGTAACATTGTATTGTTTTTTCATGACAATCAAATAGGGAATAATGATTTTTTTGCATTTTCTTTTTCCTCTTCTCTTAACAAACCCATGTGCCAAACAAAGCATCAAAGTCAACTTTTTATTTATTTATTTATTTTTTTTTCAGCAATAAAAATGAATCCTTTATGATAAATGTTCATACCCCTCCTACATTTTTTGTTGGAAACAGAGCCCAAGAGAAACTTTAGGGCTTCCTTTGGGTTTCATGTTAAGGGTAGATTTTTAAACTGTTTTAATACCAATGGAAATATGATAACAACTTACACCATTTGATTTCCTAAGCTTAGGTTGGCTTTAGTTCTTCCTTATGAAGGGGGGTAATTATATACTTTGACTTAAGATGTGAGCGGGTTTCATAGGCCATTGGTGTTATGTTATCCACTAAAGTGGTTTGATTGCTTTAATCTCCTTGCAACATCTCCCATATTTTCTTGTCGGTTTCCCCGTGGACGGAGGTCAAACAGTGAACAAGTAAATCTCATTTGCAGTATTAGTGGTTTGTTTTCTTCAATTTCCTTGATTACACTAGTAAAAGATCCTTGGGGCTTCTGTGGGTAATTAGAATAAAAATTCTAATTTAGTTTGAAAACGGTTTCACTGACAAAATTCACAAGAAGTACCACCGGAAGCATTTGTGCTAACGATTTTGAAAACTTGTTAAATAATTAAGATTTAACTGGTATATTATTTGGAGCATATATCTAATAAAAATATTATGCTGCATTCTTCCATTTGGAACAAAAATGCCTAGACCCCATGACGTAGCTCGAATGGTTCAAATTGTGTAAAATTTAGAATGTGTCAGTAATTTTAAAAACTTTTTTTAGTATATAAACTAATCCTTGCATCGTTAGTATTTTTGCTTCTATCATGTTTAGTTATTTCTTGAAACATTATTTTTTATTTCATACACTCTGACGTGTTATTACTTCTTTGTTTAATCATGACTCATGATACATGGCCAAGTTTTAGAGGGCAGGATAGGTTTCAGTCTCTGTTACCTTCTGCTTCCTCACAATACACAGACAATTTCAGAGGATAAGATAGGTTTCAGTCTGTCACATTCTACTTGCTCACAGCATTACAGATCCATTTGTAATTAGGTGGATGCACTTCATTGTGCAAATGCTATATTCAAGTGACCCTTTCTATTGATTCTGAGATGCACACGCATTATACATTTTGTCACCCATTTGAGATTCTGGTGACCATTCTAGAATCAGTGGTTTTGGTAGGGAAGGCATTCTTTTTAAGTCAATCTTTACTGATGTTTAGGTAACTGAAAGTTCCCTTTGGCTTATGGAGCGGCAAAGTGAAGTAACTGTGCACCAAGCCATTATTAGCCTTTCATCTGAACAATTTAGCATTTCCAAAATCTTTCCCAAGTTCCTGAATTTCATACGTAGATTTCTCATTACTAGGGTTCTATTTTTTGAACTGTGTGTTAATTGCATTACATCTGCTTGGTTGCATACTAACTATACCTGTATTTTTTTTCTTCAAAATTTGAATTATGATTGAATTCTGAAAGGCCTAGTGCTAGAGGTTGGTCATTGGCTTCTTGTTATATGCTAAACCTTGAAGTTTTGTGAATCAGTTACTGAATTGAAGACAACTGAGAAGTGAGAGATGTATTACAATAAAGTGGAGGCCCTTCGAGAAAAAGAAGTTGCTGAAAAGCTGATTAATAGTAATGATTATGTTAGTGCCAGGGACAAATTACTAAAAGCCCGGCAGCTTTTTCCATCACTTGAACACATCGTTGCAATGCTGACTGTCTGTGACATTCTGTCTGCTTCTAAAAACAAAATTCCAGGTTATGACACCGATTACTACTGGGTTCTTCATCTTATGCCCTCGTCAAGCATTTCTGATATAAAATGTCGTTACCAGAAGCTTCTCAATTTGCTGGTACCTATTAAGAAAAAGTTTCCTGGCACTGAATTGGCTCTTAAACTCATAAAGGATGCATTTTCTGTGCTTTCAGACGAAGATAAGCGTTCTTCATTTGATTTAAAGCGTGAAACGAGCTGGGCAGGTTATCAATCACTTGACGTACAAGCATCATTCAATTATGGTATATCAGCTAGAGAGACAGGAATTACTAGGGTTTCTTCTGGCGAAGTTTTGGAAGGGAAGAACGGAGTAAATTTGTCAACAGACATGCTCTCAGAGAGGGTGAGAGATTTGGGACCTGAGCTACTAGCTAATCATAACATTAACAAACAATGTGCAAATGTTAGTCTTCAAGAACCGAGCGCATGTTCTTCAACCGTGAACTCTCATGGAAACACGGGGGAGGAGATTGACATGCCCATGGACGATACAAACTTGCCACTAGAACTGCATCAGACCAATTTCGAAGGAACTCCATCTTTGCCGTTTGGTGTTGGGGCTTTGAAAAGGCCTGATCAGGACTTTTACGACTTTGGGAACATTAGAAAACCCGATTTTTTTGAAACGGGGCAAGTATGGGCTACTCACTACCAGTCAGATGAGCCTCGAAATTGTCGATATGCTCTAATTAAGAATAACGTGAAATCTTCTGCAGGGGTTACATGGTTGAAACCAGTCCCTATCAGTGACGGAGAGAGAAGATGGTGCGATGCAGGCTTGCCCGTGGCTTGTGGACCCTTTTGTCTGGATTTAGATAAGGGTGAGCAGGTGAGTTGCATAACAATATTTTCATACAAATGCTTGTGGGTTCATGGAGTAACGGAGGAACAATTTGAGATTTTCCCCAAGAAAGGTGAAATTTGGGCACTCTACGAGGATTGGGACATCGATGAATGGTCCTATAATCCTGAAACTGTCAAGGGATGCAAATTCAAATTTGTTGAAATGCTCTCGGATTTTTCAAAATATTTGGGTGTAGACGGTGCATGTTTGGTAAAGACAGATGGTTTCAGGAGCATCTTTGAGAGACTAACAGAAGAAGGAAATCCTGTCATTCTTCACATTTCCCCGACAAATTTGTACATGTTGTCTCATATGATTCCGGCATATAGGGTTACCGGTGGTGAGATTGATGGACTTATAGAAGGAATGTTTGAGCTTGACAATTTAGCATTGCCGAATGATATGCCAAGTGATTCGGACAACCAAATTGCATCAACTGTGGAAAATTCGGACAGTTCTGTTGTTTTTACTGGTTCCGCAGAACAACTTCCTTCACTTCAACCCCTGAAGCCATACCCAGAGAGCAAAATATTAGAGGCAACTTGGTCTCTGAACGAGTTCAACGCCGGTCAAATCTGGGCTGTGTATAGTGGGAAAGCTTCAATGCCTCGGCAATACGCACGCATAAACAACGTGAGTTCAGGTAATCAAGTATGCGTTTCGATTTTAGAACCACAACCCATTTTTGATTATGAAAAGATATGGAAAAAACAGAGCCTACCCATTGTTTGTGGAATGTTTGGAACTACCGGAACAAATGTGAACTTGGAAATTTCACAATTCTCCCACGTAGTTCGATGCCAACAAAGCACAACCAAGTCGGTCTACAAAATTTACCCGATGAAGAATGAGATTTGGGCAATGTACAAGAATTGGAACAAGAAATGGAAGTACTCGGATTATGAAAACAGCCAATTTCAATTCGTTGAAATTCTATCGGATTTTACAGAAGGAAACGGGATGATGATAGCGAGACTGACGGAGGTGAAGGGTTGTCTGACTTTCTTCCACAGGCAACAGTTTGACGGGTTTGATCTGACTCGAACAGTTTCAAAACCTGATTTGCTTAGTTTCTCTCACCGGATTCCCGCTTATAGAGTGCCAGGGATCGGGCACCATGGCATTCCGGAAAGTTCTTGGCATTTGGAACCTAATGCCTTGGCTTGCCAGTATGAATCTGAATCATGCACCATCAGAGAGAACCTGTAATTGTGTAATATGCATTTTGCTGACATTTGATTTGTTGACTACAGGTTAGTGTAGATTCAAGAAACATGACATGGGTTTCTTCCTTTCACTGAGGAAGTCATGTAATTTATTGATAACCATCCAAAGAGGCATTGAACAACATTGTTTGTAAATTTTCAGAGAATGCTTGGCTCATTGGAAAGTTGGCTTTTCTCAATGAATGAGATTTTCCAAGAAAATTATATTGACCTCCTGTTTCTGTGTTGTCCTGATTCATTAGTCTATTGACCCTCAGAGCTAGGAGTTTTTTGAAATTTTGGGTGAACTATAAACTGTCTGGTCCTATTTATGGGTTGAAAAAGTGGCCAAATTGGCATATGTTTTGTCATCGTTTCAAACAATTCTTTTTACGGAAATTTACATTTCAGTGAAACAGTGGCAAAAAATTAGGATCCGTTTGGTTAAGTTTTAGAATTATGATTTGGTTTAGTTTTAGAATTATGATTTGAGTGTGGAGTTGTATTTTAAGTTTTTGAATTATGATTTAAAAAAAAAAAATTGTTTGGTTATGAGTTTTGAAAATAATTTTGGGATGATTTATAATTTTTTTTTTTGATTAATTGATATATAGAATGTGTGAGGAGAGATGAGAGAAAAAAAGTGATCGATTAATAATAATAAAAAAAAAAAAGAAGAGAGGAGTTTGGAAAGTAATTTTGAGTTGTATTTTAAAAATATGTTTGGTTAATATGTTTTATTCAAATCATGATTTAAAAACAGAATTGAGTTTTGAAAAGTAAACCAAATGCTATCTTACATTTTCATGATAGTACAATTCTCACATGTGTGTGCTTAGTGTAACTCTTTCTGTGTGTTAGAGTTGCGCGCACAAAAAAAAAAAAAAAAAATCATTTGTAATACAATTATTTTGTGACCGTTCATCTATTTGCAATTTCCCCTTCTTTTTAAAAGCAAAGGTCATTGAGTTTAAAGGTAACGAATCTAAGCAAATTTTTATCTTTTTATGTGTTTGGATAATAAATTTATTGGGGAAAAAAATAGCTTCTATTCACTTTTTTTTCTCTTTCTTGTTAATTCTTCTAGAAATTTAAGATCTAAACGTAATTTGATTTTGTTTGCTATAACTTAAATAGGCTATTTATGACTTCTTGTTTTTTTTTCTTTTTTTTTTTTTTTGAGATTTTGTACAGACGGTTGTACTTCTGCTTGCTGTTTATGCAGTATGAGAAATAGATTTGATAAACACTAATTTACTCTTTGACAAAACACTAAAGAAGAAATTGGGGAAAAGTTTCAACACAAGCATTTGTTTTTTCAGTACAATTGATATACCATGTACCATTTTCAAGACAGGTGGTTTTTGGTTTGTAATTTGGAATAATGAAATGCCAATTTAGCTTAGGAGGCAAGAAAAGTTTCATGATTTGGAATAATGCAATGCAAATTTAGCTTAGGAGGCAAGAAAATTTCACGGGTCTTACTACCAAGTGCCCTAGGACACCATAAAAAATAAAAAAAATAAAATAAAATAATAATAATAATAATAATATTTTTGAAAAACAAGAGATTTTTTTATTGAATTCAATATACTTTTATTGAAATAATATGCTTTTTAATATATTTTTATTTTATTATTTCACCTATTTTCAAGACAGTTTTATTACCTCAATCCCAATATTAAACAATGTCTCATGGCATTTGATTGATTTTAATTTGGCAATGCTTTAAGTTCCATCTATTTATAAACCCTAGATTTGGAAGTTAATTGAATTTTTGAAAGATTTTGAAATTTTGAACCTAATTTGGATGGAATCTTTTGTTCCTTCATTGTGGGTTTTCTAATAAAACATACAAAATCATATTTGGAATACATACACAAATGCACCTACCTCCTCTTAAGTCTTTTTCTACATCATTGTGAGAGTACTTTCTTTTCAACTCTTGTTTCTGTTGGTATTCGCAGAATGGCAACAATAGAGTTGGAAAGCAGCAACGCAAACAACATCAACAAGAATGGCGGACTTTGAGACAGATCTTACTTGGTTTGATACAAATCTAACTTTCCAAACAACATTTATAAATCGATCAGTGATTTTCTCTAAATCGTAACTGATGTTTTGGCAACATTGTTATTTTTGTTATTACTACTTTTTTCGTTTTGTTGTATGATTTGGTTAGCAAAGGATCTTACTTCTGTATGGTGTTATTTTTAATAAAAATGTTTTCCATTTTCTCAACAAAAAATAAAAAATGTGTTTACGTGCACGTGATTTCCTCTCCTATAGAAGGTAAGAACTTCATGTCATCAGGCAAAATATTCCACTATCATTTCTCAATTCCTTCTTGTGTTTCTTTTCCAACTGCAATTTCTTTTTCACAAATCCAAGATCCAATCATATCCTAACGATTTGTTTAGATCTAAAATTTGAGAAGGGAAAAGTCATTTTCCCTTTATCCTTTCCCTCCCATTTTTTCTTTTCCTCAAAAAATTCCTCCTGAAATCTTTAGATCCAAACACAGCGAGAACAGAAAGACTAGTTCCTATGGCTACATCAAGTTTCACAACCTCTTCGATTCCACGCAACATAAATTACAGTACTATTATATTATGGAAATAAATAAAATGAATCTGAGAAAAAAGGAAAAAGAAATAATGCATGGCTTGTAACAAAAAGTCAATTCAAATCCAAAACCAAAGCTATCTTCCAAAATTTATTCCATCCAACTGTATTCGAAGCAAACCCACCTCGAAGTATCTCAGAAATGATCAGATTCTAACTTTTTAATTCTCTGTCGTTTCCACAATTGAGCAATTAAGAATTATGGCAGTCCCATGTCAAAATCTCTGCTTCAGAGTCTAGTAAATCAAAATTTTCAATTTCACAAGAAAAAAACAGAAAAAAAAAACCTTGTTTCCTCAAAACACTTTATCCATGTTGCAATGAATAAATTGCAAAAGCAAAAACTGATAAAATCTGAGTAAGGAAGAGAAAAACCATATTGGTGACCACATAAAGTGAACCTCATCGCCAAAGCCGACTGATGAAGCCCTTTTTGTCTTTCTTCATCCTGTTTTCAAGTGATGGGAAGTCAATTGTATTATAGGCAAGGTCCAAAACAATTGGATTGCGAGGGATTGCTTGGAATGCTGGCGGGAAAGCTTCAATACGAGGAGCTCCTTTTGTGTTAGAATCACCAACTGCAGATTCGTAAGTGTCCAGTTTTTCGGTAAGGAATTTTTCCAACTGAAAGGTTGAAATAAGCATGAATAGTGTTAGAATAGAAAAGCACAAAGACAAATATTAGTATAATTGAAAATAAACTTGGAAAGAGAGAATTTCTAGTCTAGTCATAATAAAAAGCAGAGTTAAATACCCTGTAAAAAAAGGAAAAAGTTAAGTCGGTTTAACAAATGACCGGAGGTGGCTGAGGCATTCACTCAGTGCACTCGTGTCCGCTAGATATAACAAGGGTAGTCTGGGATATTTGTCCGATATCCGTACTCAATTTAGATATTTGGATCCTCTTATTTTATATGATGTTTAAGAAGAAGATGCCCATATATATTAGTCAAGAAACATTTCTAGCTTCTCACACGAATGTGATATAAATTTTATATCTTCCCTCAAATCTCATTTAATTTGAAGTACATTTCTAAATAATTAACATCTTATGTGAGAATATCATACAATATGCAATATATAAGTGTTTAATACGTGTCCTCATACCCATACCCATACCCAACTTTTGGATGCATATCCCAATATCCTAAGATTTAATAGGATCTAATGCTTGAACATGCACCCGCACCCAACAGTCATAACCACGTCCATGTAACATTAGGTGATGGCTGGTGCTTGATGGTTGACTTGGAAGAGATAAATTGGTTTAACAAATGTAACCAAGCTTTGGGATCACCCAACTGGTTGATTTAGAATTTATAAACCCAAAATATTAACAAGAAGTTTAGATAGAGCAACATGTGCACAACCTAAATATTCACACCGAATCAATGCTTGGTATTGTCATTTTGCTTTCTATGAATAATGTGGCAAAAATCCCTAAAGTCTACTCTATTCAATACAAGGTTAAACATGCAACCTCCTGGGATGAACATCACTGTGAAGTCATTCACGTATATCAGTTACATCTGAGATAATATAGTCCTTAATTGTGCAGATAAGAAGTCTGGCCACATTATGAGCTTAAAACTATTATTTTGGAAAGATTTGCTGAAAAATCCAATTTAACACTAGGTTTCTTGTCTAAGAAAGGCAAGTAGAAAACCCTAAGCTAAACAGTACCTTCTTATCAGCTCCAGTTAATGATATTGTAGAGATTTTTTTGGAGAGATTCTCCGGAGCCTTCTCCTCCTCTATGATTCCTGTTGCATGTTCTATGCAGCTGTTAGACCTACTGTCATCATATAACATCTTCAACTCCTTGATCATTACCTGTAGCAGGAAAGGGAAAAATGTGAGAAATCATGTTATTACATGTTTTTGGGTCACCAATCTTAAGCCAAAGTCTATTAAACTTCAGCAAACTGATGGTCCTTCAAGAAAATTATGAATTAGGCCACGTTTGGGAACAGGTTATTTTAGTAACTTTTTGGCCTTTTACGAAAAGATGTGCAGAAAAGTAGAGAGGTGATGTGATAACTTTTAGTAACTTTTTGACTTTTTGGCTAAAATAGTGCAGAATCACAGCAAATTATACTAACTGAATAATTAAAGCCAAAAGGAAAGTTCTTTCTAATATGAACTTGAGAGAAGGATTCCCAATGTCTCAATCATAGGACATCAGTAACATCACCACTTCATGCAGCTGCATATAAGTTCTGTACAGTTTTATGAATATACTCCAAAGTAGTACACCAAAACCAAAATATATATACCTGATCAGCAGTAATCAGACTTTTAAGTTTTTTAAGGGCATCATTAGCTAGAGAATGAGCACGGCAGTACAATGCATATGCTTCTGTCCTCTTTCCAGCCAAACTGTAGGATTTAGCTAAGTAAAAGCACCTGAGAACAAGGTAAATTTTCAATTAATGAGCTGGAAAAAAGGGTAAATTTTCACTAAAATGTCAAATAAAAGCAGCATTCACCCTATTAGTTTTGTTTAAACTTTTTACCAGAAAAGAAAACTGTAGAAAGCAATGATCATCAATTTGCATTATCACGACTGTTAAGACGATAATCCAGAAAAGATCAGAGAACTGCATAGTGAAACATCTTTCAAATGGTCAATGAAATTTAACTGTTATTGATATGTTGCCTTTCTATTTGATTTATTCATTTATGAGTGATATTTGAATTGTAACCCTATGTGTTATGCATAGTCCTACACATGAAGAACGTGAAAAAAAATTGTTGAATATTTTGTCACAATAACAAAATCCAACAGCAGTGGACAGCATGAAGCCAAAATATTCTTCAAACAGGGATGGAAGGGTAATATGCCACTCGACTCCAAAACCATCAGTGTGTAAAAGTGCTTCCAGATATGATAACGATCAAGACAAGCAAAAAGACCTCCCACGTAACATACTAAAACAGAAATCAGTAAAAGAATTGAATATAATGCATATTAGCCATCACAACGCAAATGTTGTGAGGCATTTGGGGGTGAGATATGGCCAGCGTTCAGAAACAAGTGAATAGATGACATAAATGAAATTAGAATGTCGAGATCAAGAAGCACGATAAAGAAAGTAGAAATGAATCCACTTGACGCAAGTAGAGGCAGCACTGACAGTATACAAGATAAGAGGATGTCTACCAAGGTAAGGCATACAAAAGCAAACCAAATTTCATAAGCAAAATATGGCCCAATATAAGACAATTGTGAAAGAAGGCAAAATCAAGATGATTGGCCTGAGTTCTATCTGAAAACATGTTAAATAGATCTCTTAGATTACTTTTAATTGCCTTAATAACTTCTGTATGCTGAACCAGATGACCTTTTAGATCATCAGGTTACTGACAACTGTCAACCATACAAGATATCAAAAAATTCTAGGCATAATTTGGTTTCAGAAAACAGGGAAAAGGACAAACCAGATTGACTGGTTGGGTCCAGACATCTTTCAAGACCATCTTGATAGAGTTTTATTAGAAGTGAAGAGAGGAGACCTTATTCATAAAGATAGAGTTGTGTGAACTAACATTCTAAACCATTTTAAAATATGTTCTACAATTAGATATTAAGGATTTCATATGAAGCAAACCTTTCTGCTCGAAAAACCAAACTTTTGACTGCATATTCTTCACCAAATGCCAATTCTTCCGGTTTTTGATCTCTCCCAGAACTAACTAAATCCAAAAGATCAGCTGTATTCTGTCAATAATAAAAACAAGCAATCCAGTTTTACTGTTTTGTAATGAAAGTTACTGTTAGACAATTTAAAGATCTGAAGATGAATAGGAATATCAAGAATAGAAAAGAACATAAGGAGCGTGAGTAATGTTCACCTGTAACAAAAGATCATATAGCCTGACAAGCTCCTCTGGCTTGGTGACTTTCTCATTTTTGTCATCACAGATTTTAGGGAGTTTGCTTTTGGCTATGCTCACCAACAGCTGGTTCCGTTCAATGGTCCGTTGTCCTAGGACAGCACCAATAGCTTTATCAAGTCCACTCAAATCATCTTTCATGTTTTCAGAATTACTTGCAGTGACCTAAAACAAACAGAATGCCTGAATCAGTATGAAAGATAAACATAAACTGAAGACAACCATAATTTACCAAACAATTCATCTACTTCATGCAGAAAAAATGCAACCAAAACAAACTCATGCAGAACTTATTTATGATAGATAAACACATGCTACAGCATTTAGTTGACAAGACTCCATACCAAGTCATTACGGATGGAGCTCCTGGCTTCATGATATGCGGCAAAGATTTTGTCGAAGATGACAAGTCTTTTCTCTGCTGGAAGGGAGTCTGCTGTTGGACCATGAAGATCTTTCTCCAATTCCTGAGCTGATCAAATTTGTCACGTGATAAAGAAAAGCTTGAGACTGGGTTTTATTAATCCAACAGTATAACAAATTTGCAAAAAAAAAAAAAAAACTGTATATGATGATTGATGAAGCACACAACCAAATTCAGTAATATTTCAAAAGCAAATATCCAGATGGACCAATTAGGAAGAGGGGAAAAGTTTTCATTGGGCTTCAGGCTATATAACCTTCCTTGTATTAACTTAAAATTAGCCTATTTCTTAAATTTTAAAAAAATGTTAAGGCTTCAAAAAATTGAATTCATTTAGGGAGGAATAAATAGAGTACAAGATAATCTTCAACACATACTAGGTTGCAGCTATTATTAGCATAAGATCACAGGAGAAAAGGGGTTGGATGCAGGAAAAACTACAAAACAATATTACACAATAAACATAAAATAAAATACAACGTACATGCAGATTTGCACCACGATTCATTACGAAATGAGCAGCACGTAAGACAGAAAACACCAGCGAACTACTTTCTCCGACTTAAATAGTCTAAGAGAGTTTTCATCACTAACATTTATTTGCCAATCTCAAGATCACCAAAGATCCAATGACCATTGTCCAACTATACTGAAAGCCATGAGAAAAGCTTTCTTTAGACTTTTACTAACGTAGTTAAAATTTCCATATTAGTAGTTCTTTAAAAAAAAAGTATGCCATATGAGATTTTATGTTACATGGACTAAAATACAAGTGTCCGGTGTGAGCATATATCTAGAGTTTGGACCCATTAAACTTCAAATTTAAGGATATGCGGATTTGGCGAAAAAGGATAATATTTTTATATTTTTAATCTATTATGTGACATGAAATTGTATTTTATATAACATACAATGTCAAAAAGGTATTTTACTTATTTTCTAGTAATTATACAACAATATATACACATAATGATAGTGTTAAATATAAATATATAAAAAATATCCGATGAAAAGTATCGGACACATATCCCACACCCTTGTCCAACTGTTGGTTGTTCGACACAGATATTTGATTTATTTTGAAGAGTCCATGTAACATAGATATAAGCCATCCCTAGTTGAAAAGTAGTGCATTTACGAGAATGAGACCTCATATCATATTCAGCAATGAGCTAGTGTCTCCAATATTTATTGGTAGACTAGACTTCATACATCTTACAGGCTTTTCCTAAATGAAACAATGTAAAAAATGTCATTTGTATATAACATCCAAAATGAATACATTCGCGCCTAAGCTAAACCATCTCAACCAGCAACTCAAGTGAGACAACATGCAAGCTTGTGCTTGTGGTGCATCAGTTAATACACCTGCCTTAGGGCTTGACACCAACTTTGTATTTTTCAATGGATAACAAACAAGTTATGATATTTCCTAAGAGTATTGCAGTTAACATCCCCACGTAGTTAATGTATTCACAACTTATAATAACTAAAATATTAAGTGTAGAACTCAAGCAAGCAAAATTATGTTGCACATTGCGGAATGGGAAAGCAGAGGGTGTGAGGGTTACAGTCACTGATTCACGTATCAACAGGCCATCAGATAATGACAACTGCAAACTCTTGACCATTATGTTTATGCAGGATAAATGACAAAGTTAAGAGACACACTTGCACATACTTTCCAAGTCTGTTGATTGTTGGACCATACTGACCATTTGTATCATTATAAATAGAGATTGATTACTGACCTTTCAATATGAAAACACGTGTCTTCGCATTAGAAATTGGAAATTTATGACCAAGCCAATGAAATTCTGTCATAGATGCAGCCTGCTGAGATCTTGCCTCAGCCATAACAGCCTGCAAATTGAGATAAAGCGAGACACGAGATAAATGGCAAGTAATGTAACAATAGTCTGGAAATTCTTTTCCAATTTTACAGATAAGAAGCAAATATAATATAACCACTACTAAAAAGGAGATGACCATAAATAGATCAGGATACAACATTACTCATAGCTTAACCTCTGAAACAACTAAACTTACCTCTAGTTTAGCTTTGAAAAGATCGAGTGCAGGTCCTTCCATTTCACCAATGTGCATGAGTTCAGAAGTTTGTAAATTTGACTCGCCAAGTTTGTGTAGACAGTACCGTATACTTGGTTCTAGTTCCTCAACACGCTCACGGCACAAAACCTGATTCTCTAGGTCCCCATATTTCCCTAGTTCCTCATAAACAGCCCTATTAGATAATGAAGTTAGCTACCATCCAACAACGATACACCTAAAGGAAAGGAGAGAAATTCCTGATAGCAGAAACATTCTAGATAGCCAAATTAGAAAGGGAACAAAGATTTTGAAGAAGCCAAAAATGGAAAATGCACAAGGATATGCCAGTAAATTCAAAGAGCAAATGTTCAACCAACGACCTGGTTTCCATATTTATTCCCTTTTGTCCTTTGGAATTTACTCATCAAGAAGACAACTGCCTGTTTATTTTATCATTACACAGCACCAAACATTGTCTAAATATTAAGTGACGATATACCTGGCATTCTTGAAACTCTTTAACGCAATGTCCCAATTCTGATCTTGTTCAAACAATAAATTCCCTCTCATATAAGACGCATAGGCCTGCAATATGGAGATCAAAGCTTGTTCAATGGAAAGGTAAACATCTGTACTTAATTAATTAAAACAAATGTTGTGCTCAAAATTTAATGAGGCAAGTCAAAGCTCTTAAAGTATTTAGAATTCCAGCATCAAAGTTCATGGAAACAGATGATTAATGAGAAACCAGTTTAAAAATCTAAATACATGAAATTGATAATATATGATTATATATGGACACAGTTTTGTGCAGTCCATATTTCATAAAAGCATGCTTAGCTCCCTCAAATGTAATGAAGAAATTATGTTGCACCCCCATTCATTAAATGGAGTATAGTTAAAAGTTAATACATTAAATTAAAGTTCACTAAGCATTAAGGATTTTGAAAATCTTAGTTAAATGGCAATAGATTACTGAAAATTTAGATCTTTAGTTAATGATATTTTATTTACTTTGCAGTCTTTCTTTCTACATTATTGCTTCCTCTTCCCCAGCTCATACTTTTCATGACTATAATGAAAACAGGTAACTCTTAAATCTCACCCAATGGCTGCAACTTTCATACAAAATGAATTCTCATCAGTTATTCTACCGTATCTATTTCAGGTGGCCCCTTTCTTGTCACAGATGTTCTTTATTTAGTCCTCATAGTAGTACCATCCACTCAAACTGAATTAGTTTTCTTCATTGTAGTCAATGATCTGCATTGCACATAATAAAACAGTCCAATCTTACTGTATCCCATATTGTCCTCAAGGGCATATATTTTAACTTCCATAATGTGCATTAATTCCAGATCCTGTTAGGCCTTGGCTGGCTGCTTTTTCATTTCAACATTCTTTTTGTAAACTTGGTATTTGTAAATATGTTGTCCTTCACCTATCAACATTGTGTGCTGTAAAACATGAATAAACTGGTAACCTAACCATAGAACAAGATTATCCTTTTCACTGATGGACTATCTGAGTAATTCAAGCCAAACAAATCTTTGTCATTCTCTCCATGCAACTCCAAGTTTTTGGTGTTTTTAATATACATACAATTATTTATCAATAAATATCCTAAAATCCTTTCTTTTTTGATAAGTGAACTAAAGTTATATTAAAAAAGGAGCTAAGGAGGCATTGCCAGAGAACACAAGCATGACAAAGGCAAAAACCTCTACATCATGAAAAATTCATAGACAAGACCAAAAACCATCCTAGACTATAAACTAAAATATAGGTACAGCCATCAACAAACCCCTCCTCTACCGCTCTCCACTCCAACTCTCTACCTACCATCTTAATTGATGGTGTGAAACAAATTCCTTAACTCCCTTCCACTTCCTGCTCTGTTTCCCCCATTCCTCCTAGCAGAGCTATCATCCATTCTTGGCCTCTTTTTTTGCATGGAATCCCAAAGAATTTGTTGAGGCCTTTTACTCTCTCCATAACCCATTCAGACCTCAGTCCGATCACCCAATTCAGAAAAGTTGTCTTCCTGAATAGTTGCTGGATTGTCACTTCCTTGGCCTAGACTTCTTTTGTATATTTTGCTCTATCACTAGGAATGGCAACGGGCCGGGGATGACACTCCCTGTCCCCGATCCCCAAAAATAAAAAAATCCCCGTCTCCGTCCCGACCCCCCATCCCCGGCGGGGCACCCATCACCTCCCCCGCCCCCTAACGGGGATCAGGTTTCCCCGACCCCCGAAAAATCCCCGACAGATCTGTTCAACACACACACACACACAAGAACAACAAAAAAAAATTAATCTGTGTATGGACAGATTTGTTCATCAACAACAGATCTAGAACAACAGATTTATTCGTCAACAACATATTTGGAAAGATTTGTGTATATGGACAGATTTGTTCATCAATAACAATCATAAAAAAATTTAATCTATATATGAACAATCATCAACAACTTAAAAAAAAAAAAAAAAGATTTGTTCTTCAACAATAGCAGATTTGTTCATCACACACACACACACACACACACACATATACATACAATCATGATGGAACTTATGTAAAAGTAACATATATATATAGAGAGAGAGAGAAAGAGAGAGAGTTGGGCGGTGGCTTGATTTGTTCATCGGATCACGATTTGTTCAGATCGGTGGCTTCATGGTGGTGGATCTGGATGATGATGATAAGAAGTGAGAGAATGAGAGAGAGAAATCTGAGTGAGTGGACTCGAAGCCACCTAGTGCGTGGCTAGAATCGACGCGAGCAACAAGCACTACAAACGGCGCTACTCTGCGTGCTGCGCTGGAGAAAAGGCGAGGACGGTGGTGAGATGAGCCATGAGAGAGAGAGAGAGAGAGACTCGGTTTGAGACTCAGAGAGAAGTGAGATGACTTTTGAATAGAAGTGTTTGTTTATATATGTATATAGGGGTAAAATAGTAATTTCACTTAAGGGATTGAGTTTTGAATACCATCCCTGCCCTATTGGGGATATTTTTTGGGAAAAAACCGCTCAAATCGGGATCGGATCCCCGTCGGGCCAAGTTTAACTTGCCATCCCTATCTATCACCTTCATCTCTCCACATTAGCAACTTAGTTGCACTCTTCCTTCTCTCCACATTTCCCTGCCCACCTGCAGGACTAGAACCACTCCCATCTTCTAAGCATCATTTCTCTCATTCAGGCTTCCTTTTGCTTCTCTGCTATACTATCTCTCCCATCCTCAGTGAAACTAGGTTTTGCTACACCCTCAGTACCTGGCCTGACTGATCCATTGCAGGAGGAGAGCAATCCACCGAGCTCTCCACACCTGCCTCCCTTGAAACCACCTCCACTATTCTAATGTCTTCCCATTTTCCCTTAAGAGTCTCTATTTCCAGACTTGCCTTCTAGTCCCTTATTCCAAATGTGACAAGGTTGAACCACAACCGAGCAGTCCCATCCCAAAATCTTGAGATGAGTACAACCAAACAATTCTTTAGACTCATCAACTAAAACAATATTCAGACTCATCAACTTGAACAAGAAACCAACAAACAGGAGCCACTAGATCTCTTCTGTCTTCATTCCCCCTTATTTTAGAATTACGGAAAAATAAATGATTTGTTACCAAGGTTCTGAAAAGCGGTTGCGGTCGCCGTAACGGTGGCGGTGGCGCGGTTGCAGTTGCGGGGTGTAAAGGCCGTAGTGTAATGGTTGCGGTAACCGGAACCGTGAATTTTTTTATTTTTCGCACAATTTGAAAAAAACTTACCGATACGCACATTTTTTTTCCATGATCATATTTATTGGGTTTTAAAATAAATATTGAAAAGGAAGCACGGATACGGATACGGGATACGGATACGATACGGATACGGCGATACGACAAAATTTGAAAAACTAAGATACGGGTACGGCGGGGATACGTTCATAAAAAATATTATTTTAACAATTTTTAGTAATGCAGTATGCATAAAAATAAAACCTAAAGCAAAAGACAACTTGATAAAGAAGAAAGATTCCTATAAAACTAAGAGTCTTCAAGGTCAATAGCTTCAACTTGTTCCCCTTCATCATTGAATATCACAAGACCTTAGCTAAAGCCAAAAAACCATTCTTAAATAAAAATTTCAGCAAATATACTTTTTTAAGTCATCAATGATAGCCTAGGAAGCACGGATACGAATATGGTGATATGGGGATGTGGATATGGCGATATGTCAAAATTTGAAAAAGTACAATACGGGTAAAGCGGGGATAAATTCATAATTTTTTTTTTTTTTATATATAATTTTAATAATGTAATATGCATGAAAATAAAATTTAAAGTAAATTAATAATAAGGAGAGGGATTCCTATTAACCTAAAAGTGCTCAAACATTCATACAACATCCAAAACTAAAAGCAAAAGCAAAAGCAAATGCAAATGCAAATGCAAATTAAACATCATCCTTACATGCCAACACCAAAAAAAGAATGAGAGCAGAGAGAAGAAACGTGAGAGAGTGAAAAAGCGAGAGAGAAGTGAGAGAGACAACAAGGATACATCAATTTGACAAATTCTATTACTTTAACTCTCACTATATTCCTCTTATCAAAGAACTAAACAAAATATTATAAGTAATATATAACTTCGAGTATCCGATACTTCAAAATTAAGTATCCGAAACTTTAAAATTAATAAAAAATTAATTAAGAAGTATCTGATACTTTTAAGAAGTATCCGATACGTATCCGCGAGTATCCGAGGAATATCGGTATCCGATAAGTATCCGAAACGGATACGTCACCCTTTTTGAAGTATCCGTGCTTCATAGATTAATTTTAATAAATTTTTTAGTTTGATCCAATATATTTTATATTTTTAAATCATTACAAACTGAGTTTTTTACATTTTATTTTAATAATTAATGACTTTATATTATACAAAAAATCAATCACTAACTATTATATATAAGATAAACAATGACAAAAGTAAGAGAATAAATAAAAGCCTAAATATATATATATATATATTAATCAAGCCAAATAGCTAATGACCACACTTATTATTATTATTATTATTATTATTATCAAACAATATATAGATAGACACACACAAACAAAATGGTTGAGTGATAGCAGTTGAATATAATAATATAAGTTTTACAGCTTCAACAAATCAATAACATGTTCTTCATCTTCCCTCTTCTCTCTCTCTATCTCTTGTTCCTCCATCTTCCCTCTTCATCTTCCTTCTTCTCTCTCTATCTCTCTTCCCCATTTTCAACTTTTTTCTTCGAAAAAAGCAATTCGGAACCGTTACGTAACGGTGCATAACAGGCCGTTACGGCACCGTTATGATCGCTATAGCAGTCGCTACAGCCGATACACCTGTGAATCTCAATCACACCGCAAAAGCGGCCGTAACGGGTGGCGGTAACGACCACAACCGTTACGTAACGGCGTTACGTAATGGTTGCGGCCACTTTTTAAAACCTTGTTTGTTACACATCATAATATATATCACACAATATATGCATAACACTAAAATGAGCTCCAAAATTTTTACGAAAGCACCTTTTTGTCTTTTGTTTCATGGCATTTTATTTGTGAATTCCAGGAACCACGCTAAGCCAACAGTTCTTAAACTTCGGAAGAATTTAACTAACCAAACTAATATCAATGAAATGGTTCTTGTCATGTCGGGTTTGTCAAATCAACTAATTATAGGATTTCTAGGACTTAACTATTACTTTGATGCAAAATTCTAGCTTTAGTTTTTGCCTTACAAGTACAAAAGAGCACATAGAGTAGCTACAATATTTGAAAGAATCAAATATCCTTTGAAACCAGTGCCTGGATGCATTATGCCATATTTTATGCCATTTTTCATGGCATATTTCTGAATGGGTTTTGGGTCGCATTGATGAGATTCGTAAACTTCTGGGGGTCTCATTCGATGGCCATGAGGTTGAAGCTCTGAAATTGTTTTCTGCTATTGAGGCTTCAAGGCATGGAATTATAGTTCGGAAATACCTACAAGTGGTTTGTCAGAAAACAAAAGGTGCTAAGAGAGTTGCGTTGTTTGGAGTGTTTAGTCAAATATGATTATAGCACAGGTGGGGGAGGTCGTAAGGAAAGGAAGGATCGTGGAAATCAATTATTGTTACCATGCATCTGAAAATTCTGTCTTGGAATGTCGAGGTTTGAATGATCAGGGTAAGAGAGTGGTGGTCAAATCTTTATTGAGGAGTGCTAGGGCGGATGTGATATGTCTTCAGGAAACGAAAATAGAGTGTGTAGGGGGAGAGTTAGTTCGTGAGTTATGGGGGGGCAAAGGGTATCCTTCTTTGCTGGGATAGCAGGGTGGTGGTGAGGGAAGGGGAAGAGGTGGGGGGGCTTTTTGCTATCTTGCCTCTTCTGATGCGTGTAGGATGAATTTCGTTGGGTGTTTACAAGGATGTATGGGCCGGTGAGAAGTTCGGAGCGATGGGCCTCTTGGGAGGAGTTACAGAGTATTGCGTTTCAATGGGACGCGCCATGGTACGTTGGAGGTGATTTTAATGCTGTGAGGAGCTTGGAGGAGAAGGTGGGGGTGAGTCATGCAATAGGGCCCACGCGAATGTTCTCCTTTTTTATTGATGAGATGCAGTTGATTGATTTGCCACTTCAGGGAGGAGGTTTTACTTGGTCTAGAGGCCAAGCATTGTCTCGGATTGATAGATTTTGTCACTGGGGACTGGGAGGAGCACTTTTCTTAGATGATTCAGATCAAATTACAGCGTCCGATTTGACCATTGGCTAGTATTGTTGGATAGTGGGGGGATTGGACAGGGCCTGGTTGTTTCGTTTTGAAAATATGTGGCTACAGTTGAATGGTTGTGTGGAAAAGGTGGGTGATTGGTGGAGGAGTTACAAGGTGCTAGGGTTGCCCAATTATCAGTTGGCTTAGAAGTTGAAACTTTTGAAACTAGATTTGAAACGATGGAATGCGGAGGTGTTTGGTAGTTTGGAGGTTCAGAAAGCAAACATTCTGATAGTGTCGCAGGGGTTAGATGAGGAGGAGGCTGAAGGGGTTCTCTCTGAAGAGGACTTGGTCCATTGGGATAGGGCTCGAAAGGAGTACGAGCAAGCTCTTCAGATGGAGGAAATTAGCTTTCAACAGAAATGATGTTTGTGGTTGAAAGCTGGGGATCACAATATGAAGTATTTTCATCAAATGCGCGAATGCCCATTGATGAGTAAACTAGATAGGGAAGATGAAGGTAAATGAGGAGCTGCTATCATCAGAGAAGGATGTCAGGGCTGGCATTGTGGGTTTCTATCAGCATTTGTTTCGAGATGATGGGGATGTGAAGACTAGGATCGGAGGGGGTGGTGTTTGACGCTATTTCTGAGGCAGATAGTTTGATGGTAGAGAGGCCGTTTTTGGAGGAGAAGGTGTTGGATGCATTAAGGAGCATGTGTGGAGATAAGGCGCCGGGGCTTAACGGTTTCACTATCATGTTCCTACAGCATTGTTGAGGGGTTGTGAAGGTTGATGTGATGGCTTTGTTTGAGTAATTTCATCAGACGAGGCAATTTGAGAAGAGTCTTAATGCAACCTTTATAGTGTTGATTCTAAAGAAAGGGGGGGCGAAAGACATTAGGGATTTCAGCCCATCAGTCTTTTGGGTAGTGCATATAAGTTAGTGGCTAACGTCTTGGCTAATAGGCTCTAGGGTGTGTTGGAAGGGGTAGTGTCTAAGTCGCATAACGCATTTGTGAGAGGCCGTCAGATCCTGGATGTTGTGCTTGTGGCTAATGAGTGTGTGGATTCGCAATTGAGACAAGGAAATGCGGGGGTCATTTGTAAGTTGGACATTGAGAAGACATATGATAATGTAAATTAGCAGTTTTTGCTTTATGTGCTTCAGCGTATAGGTTTTGGGGATAGATGGAGGAAGTGGGTTCACTTTTGCACCTCTACTATGCGGATGTCGGTTTTAGTAAATGATACTCCGGCGTGCTTCTTTCCTACATGGTGGGATTTGTGTCAGGGGGATCCATTGCTTCCTTTGTTGTTTATTTTGGTGATGGAGGCGTTGGGTCGTTTGTTATCCAATGAGGTCTATAGGGGTTTGTTGTCTTGTTTTGAGGTAGGGATGGGCCAAAATGCAATGGGGATTAATCACCTGTTCTATACAGACGATGCATTTATTTTTTGTGATGTTGATATAGTTCAATTAGGCCACCTGCGGTGTATGTTGTTTTTGAGGCAGTATTAGGGTTGCGGGTCAATTTGGCAAAGTCAAAGTTGATCGTCTTTCGCTTTTGGTAGCAGTTTTGGGGTGTAAGGTGGCAAATCTTCCAGTTTCCTCTTTGGGCCTTCCTTTGGGAGGCGACTTTCAAGGCAAGGGGGGTGTGGGATGGGGTGGTGGACCAGGTGCAAAGGCGGTTGCCGGGGTGGAAGCTTCAGTACTTGTCCAAAGGTGGGTGGATTACTCTGCTTAAGAGTGTTTTGTCTAGTATTCCGACCTACTTTATGTCGGTGAATGTGATTCCTGTGGCGGTTGCTAAGCGGCTGGAGAAACTGCAACAAGATTTTCTGTGGAGTGGTGGGAGGGAGGGTTTTCATTACTATTTGGTGGCGTGGGATACGTTTGTACTTCTAGGAGTCTGGGGGTTTGGGTATGAGGAAGTTGGTCATGTTTAATCAGGCTCTATTAGGGAAATGTCTGTGGCATTTTGTGTTAGAGAGGGATAGGTTGTGAAGGCAGGTGTTGGTGGCTAAATATGGATTGGGTAATGGGGGCAGGTCTTCGGGTAGGGTATGTCATTCCCATGGTTGTGGCTTATGAAAGGGGATTTGGTTGGGCTATAAGGAGTTTTGGGGTTGAGTTTAGTTCAAAATAAGGGTGGGGGATAGGGTTCGCTTTTGGCAAGATAGGTGGTGTAAGGGTTTGCCTTTGGCAAGATTGTTTCCTTTAATTTATGCTATTGCTTCCGATCTTGAGGAGATGGTGGCTTTTGTTCGAGCTCAGTAGGGCATGTGTTTGTTTGGAATGTTTATTTATGGCGTGCGGCGCAGGATTGGGAGTTAAGAGTATCTGGTGGAGTTTTTGGATTTTCTGTATAATTTGCATTTGAAGGGAGATGGTCTAGATACTTTGGTATGGGATTGTCCAAAATCTAAAGAGGTTTTTTCGGTGTCTTCATTTCATCAGGCTTTGACGGGTGGTAGTGCAGTGGCCTTTCCTTGGAGGTGTATTTGGGTGTCAGGGTCACCATCTAAGGCAGTGTTCTTTGTTTGGATGGTAGTCTTGGGTCGTATCTTGACTATTAATAACTTAATTCGTCGTGGACATGTTCTGGAAAATTGGTGTTGCTGGTGTTGCGGTGATGCGGAGATGGTGGATCGTTTGCTTATTCATTGTCCGGTTACGTCATGTCTTTGGATGTTGATTGTGGCGATTTTTGGTTTGGCTTGGGTGCAGCCGGGTTCTATTTCTGATGTTTTGGTGATTGACGCTATTTCTGAGGCAGATAGTTTGATGGTAGAGAGGCCGTTTTTGGAGGAGAAGGTGTTGGATGCATTAAGGAGCATGTGTGGAGATAAGGCGCCGGGGCTTAACGGTTTCACTATCATGTTCCTACAGCATTGTTGAGGGGTTGTGAAGGTTGATGTGATGGCTTTGTTTGAGTAATTTCATCAGACGAGGCAATTTGAGAAGAGTCTTAATGCAACCTTTATAGTGTTGATTCTAAAGAAAGGGGGGCGAAAGACATTAGGGATTTCAGCCCATCAGTCTTTTGGGTAGTGCATATAAGTTAGTGGCTAACGTCTTGGCTAATAGGCTCTAGGGTGTGTTGGAAGGGGTAGTGTCTAAGTCGCATAACGCATTTGTGAGAGGCCGTCAGATCCTAGATGTTGTGCTTGTGGCTAATGAGTGTGTGGATTCGCAATTGAGACAAGGAAATGGGGGGGTCATTTGTAAGTTGGACATTAAGAAGGCATATGATAATGTGAATTAGCAGTTTTTGCTTTATGTGCTTCAGCGTATAGGTTTTGGGGATAGAGGGGGAGATGTAAGAAAAGACGCACCCCTGGGTATTTAAACCAGACTTTAGTCTCGGAAATCCCGAACCTTTGCGTTCTAGGCATAAGCCATTCGAACTCTAGTTTCCACCGTCTCAGTTGGTCTCCTAGGAACTCACCGCAAACACAGGCAGGTGGCTATACCAGACCACCAGAAGTCGTTCGGGCACGACAAACACCAAAGGAATTGCACCTTTAGAGGATTTAAGGTCTCCTAGACCAGGAAGTGCACAAGACAGTGCGAATAAAGATGCAGGATTTAAGGTCTCCGTAGACCAAAGGATTTAAGGTCTCCTAGACCAGGGAGTGCACAAGATGATGCGATGCAGAGTGAATGCACAAAACAGTGCTAAACAGATGCACAAAATAGTGCGATGCTAAAGGTGTACAAAACAGTACGAGCAAGGTGAATGCACAAAACAGTGCGATACAGATAAGGCGCGCAAGACAGCGCGATACAATGCACCAACAAGTACAGGTGAGATGCGCAAGATAGCGCGAATGGTACAATGCACAAAATAGTGCGATATGCTAAGCAGCGCGATTGATTTGAAATGCACAAGACAGTGCGATGGAAGTGCGCAAAATAACGCGAGTGATAAACTGCACAAAACAGTGCGATTGAGGTGCGCAACATAGCGCGAATGAGAAACTGCACAAAACAGTGCGACGCCAAAAATGGCGCGAGTGATTTTGAAATGCACTAAACAATGCGTTACGCTAAACAGCGCGATTGATCTGAAATGCACTAAACAGTGCAATACGCTAAACAGCGCGATTGATTTGAAATGCACTAAACAGTGCGATACGCTAAACAGCGCGATTGATATGCACTAGACAGTGCGATACGCTAAACAGCGCGATTGATTTGAAATGCACAAGACAGTGCGATACAATGCATGTTCTATGCACATGAGGTGCATTTTCTATGCAAGAAACAGGAGCATATTCTATGCAATATTGAAAGCAAATTCTATGCAGAATCGAAAGCAAGCATATTCTATGGATGAATCATAACGATGCGCGACACGCATGCAACAACAGCGTATATGAAAGTTCACATTCTATGTAGTAGAGGAGCATCAAATATGTACTCTGGTGCCTCTGATTTACCTCTTAGAGGACTTTGCAACACACTCAGCTCAAAAAGGGCACACCCTGTTCATATTGGCGAGAGATAACATCTGCCGCTGCTGCTTTAATTGCCATTCTGACTTGAAGCATGCTTAAGCTTGGAGTAGAGGCACACTCATTCTTCAGAGCACTGACGAGGCCTGAAGAGGTACATATGGAATGCAATCTCAGAATTTTCTAAAGGTGAAACACACTCAGATGCTCAAAATTTTCCCTATTTTCTTTTGCTTTGTAGTCCGGAACTTATATAGCTTCAGATAGGTCCTTGTTTTACCGTTCTCACATGACCTGGGTTGAATCCTGCGATTTTATGAAAGAACGAATCTTGTTTTGTACAAATATGGAGAATGACACAGCACTCTGAGCACAAAAAGATTTATGGAAATTGAGAAATGAGTTCTTAACCGGGTATTGAGCCTACAACTGCACACAGTAAAAAAGGCTCAGCAACGGAAAACAAAAGGTAAACAACCTAAACACATCGAGTAACACTCGAAGCGACTCACAAGAAGAATCGAGACAGGCAAAATAAAACACAAGACTCAAATGTGCACATGGAGCCTGTTTCCCCGGGTATTGTTTCCCATCCTTTCTCATTTGTGGTCCTCACATCACTCGGCCCTCAAGCTCTGTTTTTCTGAAAAAGCCCTTTTCTCACCTTTTTTCTCTCAACGCACATCTCTCTATTCTTTAATCTCTCATTTTTTATCCCTCCCCAGGGTGGTTGATGGATGAACAGCAAATTGTGGGCTCGTGCCCCTAGCATTCTGCTAGATTCTCTTTCTTCTACTCACAGCTAGTGAAATCCTCCCACGGAAAGGTTGCGCTACAACTGGGTGTGTAGCAAATCTGCAGCTAACATCAGTTAATGATGCTTTGCTGGGGAGTTTGGACGTGATAAGATCTGTCCAGATGATGGAGTGGAATATCTTGCCCCATTCTAGTTTGTGCTTCGCACT